TTATAATTATATAAGATATATATCCTATATTAGGTAGGATTCTATAATTATATTCCTTATTAATTATACTAGATATAATAAATTTAGGAATATTAAATCTAATAACCTTTTAAAATTATCTATAATTAGTAAGTATATCTTCTTTCTTAAGATATAGATAATACTAGCTTTTTAATTATATTAACTATTTAACTAGCCCCTATAAGAGTCTTTTTATAGAAGTAGCTAGTTTTCTAACTTACTAGCTTTATCTATAGACTCTAGGGTCTATAGATTTATTTTATTATCTTTAAGCATAGATCTAATAGTTTATAAGATATATAGTAGCTTTATTTCTCTACTAGGGGGAGGGGCAGCACCTAGGTATTAATAGTTTTTAATTATATAGTCTAAAGCTCTATATTATAGGCATCTTCCTTCTATATAGTAATAAGATTATTTAGCTTTATTAACCTATTTTATATATTAATACTAGTAGGCTAGGGTTATAGAGGATAGGTCCTAGTCTATAATATTATTAAGACTTAGTATATTTAGGGCTAGGTTTACTAGAAGTATAGGAATATAGGTAATATAACTATAGTTTATAATCTATATATTTCTTCTATACTATTTAGCCTAAGCTACTCCCTATATATAGAAGGCTTTAATTTAGTCTATAATTATTTATAACTACTAGTAATACCCTTTAAAGCTAGCTTTATTAGCTACACTAAAGAGTTATATTTATATCTCTATATTTAAGGTGCTATTAATAAAGATTTACTTTATATTATTAGTTTAACTATAACTATTAGCTTCTATTAGTAGCTAGTTAAAGTCTACTAGTATATTATAAAAGAGATAATTATCTTATTATAGATAGTATAGTTCTTCTATAGCTTTTTCTATATAATTTCTATTATAGAATATAAGGTTAAGCTAGCTAACTATATAATCTAAGTTAGCCCCTATTATAGTATAGTTCTAAGTATATTAATTTATTTAAGGGCTTATTATAATAGTAGCTTAGTCCTTAAGCCTAGTAAAGGTATACTATATATAATTATAGTAACTACTAAATATAAAGTAGTTAACTTCTAGCTTCTATAGTAAATTAAAATAGAAAATATTATACATAGCTTTATTAATACTATTATATTAGTTAGGGTCTAGTAGAATTAATTTAGGCCTTCTTACTAGTTTATTAATAGAGATAGTAGTAGGGGTGGGTGCTATAGGTATTATCTAAGGGGTAGATATTACTTCTATAGAAGTAGTACCTATTAGGGGGGCAGTAGTAGCCCTTTATACTTTAATTTAAGTTATTTAATCTATAATCTCCTATAACTACTAGGCTATTTAGGCTATAGGGTCTATTTATATAGCATTCTATTATTATAAGTGTTCTTTATTAGGTCCCTCTAGGGATGTTAACATCTATAATAATATATTATTATAATTTATACTATTAGTATTATCTAGTTTATCTATTCTAGCTATTTTATCTAGTTTATCTAGCTGGTTTAGCTATCTCTTACTAGTTCATCTATTCATCTAGCTAGTTCAGCTGGTTCAGCTATCTCTTGCTAGTTCATCTATTCATCTAGCTAGTTCAGCTGGTTTAGCTATCTCTTACTAATTCATCTATTTATCTAGCTAGTTCAGCTGGTTTAGCTGTCTCTCACTAGTTCTATCTAACTATCTATGAATAAGCAATTTCTAATATCACAGGCTAGAAGCTATATAAATCTATAACCTAGATTTAGATAGTAAGAAATTACTAAAGAGTCTCTAACTAGGGCTGCAGCAGTCAAATATAAAAAGGGGTATATAAATAATAAGTAAGGTTATATAACTACTACTATCTAGGTTAGATGGGAGTTTGTTAGTGCCTAAGGCAGTTTGCAAGGGCTCTAGTAAGCATAAGCACCCAGCAGGCCCTACCTGCTACATAGGTGGTAAGGTGATTTTTAGGCAGAATAGAACCCAGCAGGTTGAATACCTAGAACCTGCTGGGTTTTTGGGCTGGGTTGGGTTCTTAAGGGGCCTAAACCCAACCCAACCCACAAAAATAACCAGCCTACTATATAGTAATTAGTTTATATATTATTATATATATAAGGAAATATATATAGGTGGCTACTAGGCAGCCCCTTAATAAATCTAGTTACTAACTCAAATAAGTCCTATATTCCTATAGTGGTTATCCACTATAAACCCTAGTAAATAGATACTTATTTATTAGAAGTCTTAAGCTAGTAGTATTCCTCTTAGCTCTATTATTTATTTAGAGTGATTTAACTACCTTATTACTAAGGGTTAAACTATCTATTAACTTTACCTAAGTATTTAATCTTTACTAATGCCCTAAAAGAAAGATATAAATTAGTATATAATTCCTTATAAAAAGAAATCCTAGAAATTTAGTATAATAGACTTATCTATCTCTATATTATCTTATTACCTAACTAAACTCTCTCCTATTATATTTATAAACTATATATCTTCTACCTTAATCTCCTAATAACTAGTATACTTTCTAATTTATAGCTAAGATTATAGTATACCTACCTCCCTAGTTATTAGAATAGAGATTTACTTATTAGTAGTCTTAAGCTAATAGTATTCCTCTTAACACTATACTACTAGTTATTCAGGCTGCTATTAATTAGCTAATAGATTATATAAATTAGTAAATCTATAGGTACTTATAGCCCTGTTATATTAGCAGGAGGATATAGTAGTAATATTAGTAGATTACTAATCTATATCTACCTTTAAATAGAGGCTTACTTATTAAAAGTCTTAAGCTAATAACTTACTCCTAAAAGTATATTTAGTATAGGTTTAGTAATCTTAGTATGTCCTATATTCCTGTAGTGGTTATCCACTGTGAACCTAGTATATATAAATATATATACAATTCTTAATATAGTAAGTAAGTTAGTTAATAGGTTTTAGTTTTAAGGTCTATATATAAACTAGTAAATCTATAGATACTTATAGCCCTTAAGATACTATATCCTATACTAGTACTAGCTTAGTATACTCTTTATATATTACCCTAGTCTAACTTAGACTCTGGTTATAGTTAATGAGATTAAGGGTTCATTTATTAAGAATATATACTAAAGAATACTAAATAGCTAATATATATAGGTAGGAATACTAGAGTAAGTAGTAAATAAGTTTATTTAGTAAGGAGTAGAGGGTTAAATATTAAATTATTAATCTAAATCTCTAGAGGGTTAATCCTAAAAGAGTCTAATAACTAGAAGATAGAACTAAGTACTAAATAGATACTAGTCCCTTCTTATTTCTCTAAATCTTATATATCTAGCAGGCGCATCTAATGCTTAATTATTAGATAATTTATTATTAAAGAGATCTAATAGTTATTTTACTTCTTTACTAAGAATTATATTAGGCTTCTTAATTATCTTATCTTCCTCTTCCTCTTCCTCTTCCTTTATTTTAACCTATATAGTCTTCTCCTTCTTAACCTTAATAGGTTACTTCTATATAGATATTTTTAGCCTTTTCTTCTTCTTAATTATCTCTTTCTTAATTATCTCCTTCTTAATTATCTCTCTTTTCCTTTTCTATAGCTTCTTATTCTTTAAGCTATAGTTCTTAGCCTTATCTCTCCTTATAGTTATATTACTTTATTACCCTAGATATATATATATTATAAAGGCTATATTTTAACTAATTCTCTAAACTTAGTTCTTTTTATTAATTTTAATTTTGCTGGAATTGTTTAAATAGAAGTTATTTTTAAGAATATTATTAAGTAAATTTAGAGTGGTTAAACCCAACCCAAGAACCCAAACCTAAACTGGCCTGAACCTGCCATAGGCTGGGTTCAGGTTCAGGTTCTAGGGCCCATAGGCTAGTTAGGTTCTAGAATTAGAACCCATCTAGGGTTTAGGTTCTAAAAATAGGTTTTAATTATAATACCTAGTAATTAGAATACATTAGATTCTATACTAATATGCTATATTTATATATATAATTATATTATATATATATATATATATATACTAGATGCTAGTATAGTATTAAAAAATTAAATATATACTAACTAGATTAGATAGATAGAGAGTGATTTTTAGGCTCTTTAGGTTCTATTTAGGTTTACTACCCTAGAACCTGCTAGGTTATGGGCTGGGTTTGGGCCCTAGAAATCTAGAACCCAAACCCAGTGGGTTGGGTACTAAAGATAGGGGAACCCAGCCCAACCTGTGAAAATAACCACCCTAAGTAAATTATCCTAAATATCTTTAAGTAATATAGGACTAATCTCTTTATTAAATATAGCTATAATAAAAACCTCTATAGATTACTATTCTATAAGAATTAGTTCCACTTTCCTCTTATATTTACTAAATAGAATTTTAAGGAACTCATCTATAGTTAAGAAAGTAGTATTAATAGGAATAAATATTTCTATCAGCTCTAATAAAAGTTAGAATATTAGCTTAGGTATACTAGTTAATAAAAATAATATATAACTTATCCTTGTCTAAGAATCCCTATTATAATACTTAGTGCTAGGGTTTTTAAATTCACCTAACTAGATCTAGAAGTATATCTTCTAGGTCTATCTAGTATATAGGCTTGGGTTTCTTTACCCTATATAACTATACCTGCTAACTGGAATACTACCAGCATTTAGGCATTCAGGTATAGTATTTAGAGTGCTTTATATTAACTACTACTAGATTAGACTACTAATCTTATTAAGTAGTAGATCTAATGTTAAGGACTCCTGAATAGGAGTTTATCAGTACATGTTTCATATTAGTGATCTATCCCAATCTGATCTCTATAATCCGCAAATGATGTACAGGAATGTGGAGACAACCACTCAATCTGTCCCTGTTGGGCCATTGCATCGACCCCGGCAGGTCGGTAGTAGAATAGACAAGGGGACTGTAGAGATAGTGTGTTCATCTACCCGATGACTGCAGACGATGTGCTGAGGAAAAAGACATGCTCGCCATCTGCTGCTCGACCTACCGCGTCTTGCTGCGGTGGAAAACCTTCGCTGACCACGCCTCCTCTGGCTCTGAAAAACACCCGATCTTCACCATGTACCGGAGATTCATCTCGACCCCCCGTGCGCCTTCTTCCTCCAACCGACGACGCTGCTTCGGATCCGCGCATGCCCGGGGAGGCGGCGCGCCCAATAGACTGGGAGAGGACTCGAGCATGTGCAAGATCGGTTGACACGGATGGGCTTCCGTGCCGCGACACTGATCCGCCTGCGCCGAGATGCTCTTCTTCAGCCGCTGCAACCAGGTGTTGGCGTCCACCCGCTCAAGCTGCCCCTTGAGCTGCTGATTGACAATGGCCCAGAAGCGGTCCACCGACAGGCCACAGTCAACCTTGGTTTCGACGACGCGCGGCGCTGCGGTAAGCCTGGCGATGACTTGGTCGGCGAAGATGTCCGCGCCGCAGAGGTACACCCACTCGGTGGGGGACTCCTGTGGAAAGGCGCAAATGGCGTAGCAGCCCCGAACCACCCGCCAGATGAAATCGTCGATGTTGGGGACGCCGTCCGCGGCGGCGCCCACGATCAACGCGGGGCGCAGGACCGCGACCTTGGCCGCCAGGCGGGGGCTGCGGGCGGCGGCACGCTGGAGCACCGCGCCGGTGATGATCTTCGTTTGCCCGTAGGCGTTCGACTGGGCCAGGCTGTCTTGGAGGTGCGACTGGTCACCTTTTTCTCCGGCGCCTCCGCTCGATCCCGTCTCCAGCGCCGCGGTGTCGGGCTCGTTGGGGTCCCACTGTGGGCCGCCAGAGACGTACACGAGACGGGTGACTGCGGGCGAGTCGCGCACCCATTCGACCAGTTGTAGCGCGGCATCGATGTTAGTCTTCTGCAGGGTTTGGAACCCTTCGAACCAGTCGACGGCGGCGCCGTTGTGGATGACGGCGTCGACATGGTCGGCCTGGTCGCCCCCACGTCCACCAAGCTGCGACGACCACTGCGCTGGCGACAGGCCCAGACGCACCGCGCTGAGATCGCCCGGCCAGATCTCGATGCGGGAAGCAAAGCCGCGGCGCCAGGAGCGCAGGAGTCTCGCGCGCTGAATCAGACGTTCTTTGCCCGCGGCCGCAGTGTGGCAGCGGATGAGAACCACGACGCGCGTGCTCGGGAACCGCTGGAGGAGGCGCGTCAGGATATTCAGCCCGACGAGACTGGTACCGCCCGTTAGGAGAATCCGGTGGGGGCCAGGCGTCTTGCACCACGAGCTCAGAAAGCTGAGCTGGCGGCCAAGCCGTCGTTGACCTGGTGCTGGTGCTGCGTTGAGGCACCGCCGGACGACGGCCATCCGGCTGAGTCGGGTCAGGATACTGGACCCGGCGAGGTGGGACTTCTCCATCAGCTGGAGATGATGGGTCGTCTGCCCGTTGGACGTCCCCGGCTCACGACAGAGTTGATCCACCCCTTGGCGGATAATGGCTTCGAAGGTTTCTTGGTCCTTCCCGTCGCTGCTGTTCTTGGCCGTCTGCCCGCCATCCCGGCTCTGCAAATAACAGATGAGCCCGTGCACGGTTTCGAGTCGAAGCAGTGTCGTCATGTCCATCCGCACGCGGTAGTTTGCGTTGATCCATTTCAACAGCGGGACGATGGTGATGGAATCCAGACCGATGCGCGAGAACGAATGTCGGGTGGAAAAGCTGCCGGACAGGCGGCTGTTGGGGGATCGCCACGAGAGAAGGGATCGGATCTGTCTAACAATCGGCGCTGTCAGCGACTCGGGCAGGTCCGCCGCGGATGCCACGGTGGAGGCGCCTGGCCCACCGGATGCTCTCTGGTGCGCAAGCAAAGCCTCGAACTCGTCGGCCGAAAGCCGTTCGAGCCAGACCTGTATACTGCGCCGATCCAGTTTGCCGGACGACGTCAGCAACGTCCGATCCGCCAACAGGAACACCCCGGGAACCATGTGCCGGGGCAGGGATCCCGCGGCCTTTTGGGCGATGCGTTCCATCCAGGCAACCGTTTGGCCGGGGGCGGCGTTGGGCGGGGCTGGTTCGACAATGGCAACGAGCTGCAGGGCGAGCACACCCGTGGTGGGGTAGCATACCAGTGCCTTGTCCGTGGATTCATCCTGCTGCAGGAGATGCTCAATCTCTTCCGGTTCCACACGCTGGCCGCGGATCTTGATCTGATTGTCCTTGCGGCCGAGAAAGATCGAGTCGCCCTGTTTGTTGAACTTGACCAGATCTCCGGTCAGATAGACCGGGTAGTGGCAGTCGACGCTGTAGGTATCGAGCCATGGGGCGCGGGAGAGGAAGGACGCCTTTGACTTGGCCGTGTTGTTGACATAGCCACTGGCCACGGAGGGACCCTGAATCGCCAGTTCCCCCACCGCGCCCAGCGGCATGAGGTACTTGAGATTCTGCGGGTCAACCACCCAAGTATTGCAGCCGATCCCCTTCCCGATGATCGACGGGGACATGGTTCGTGGCACCCGATCGACAAAGGTGCACTGCACGCAGCATTCGGTGGGGCCATAGGTGTTCTGGAGGTTGCAGCGATCCGCCCAGGTTTGAATGTGCCACTGATGCATGGCCTCCCCTCCGAGACGGAGAACCTTTAACTGGGGCACCTCGTCCGGTTGAATCATCCGGGCGACGGAAGGCGTCAGGTCGATGGCGGTCGCGGAGAACTCGTTGATATTCTCAGAGATGCGCAGCAGTCGGTCTTCGTCTTGGGGCACGCAGATGCACCCTCCGCTGAGGAGTGTGGCGAAGATGTCGGCAATACATGTGTCGAAGCTGTAGCTGGAGAATTGAAGCAGGCGAGCCTGGCGACCATAGAGTCCGGCAGCAACCTGTGCTTCGAGACCACTGGTGACTTGTCTGTGCAGAAAAAGCACACCTTTCGGCGTGCCGGTCGAGCCGGACGTGAAGATGCAGTAGGCCGGTGTGTCTGGTGACGGCTGAAGGTTGAAGGACCCCAAGTCCGGCGAGACGGAAGGATGCTCCCAGAGATCCTGGAAGTTGATCAGTCGAGTCGCCATGCCTTCGACATATCGTCGGGTCGCCGACGCGCAGAGGACGCGATCCGCCTTAACCGCCTGGATCATATACTGGATCCTCTGCGCAGGCAGACTGGGGTCCAGGAGCAGGAAGGCGTGGCCCGCCGCCAGGGTGGCCAACATGGCGACCACAGCCGCTGCGGATTTGGGATAGCAAATAGGGACAATCTGTCCGGGAGTCGAGGGCAGAAGCGGCGCCAAACTCGTGGCCAGCTTCTGGACAAGGCCTCTCAGCTCGGCATAGGTGTATTCGGCGTCCCATCCGTGGAGAGCATTCTCATCTGCCCACGCGTACGCCTTGGCAAAAATGCGCTCTTGGAGACATTCTCGACGATCGATCAGCTGTCCGCCGCTCATCTCGAGGACCGCGGGAACGCTCGCGGCACCCAGAAGACTCAGGTCTTTCAGCACCTCCGCGGAATCTTCGCCTGATTGCATGGCGTGCAGCGATTGCTCGAATAGCTGAGCCATCATCTGCAGGTCCCACGAGGAGAAGACCACCGGGTCATACAGCATCTTGACCGTCACGCCTCGGGTTTGTGGAAAGCATTCGATGACGAGCGGATAATCCACATAGAAATCAGAGGCCCCGGTATCAATCTCAAGAATCTTCTTCGGATTGCCATTTGCATGTATGTCCAACTCCGGCTGGATGACTAAGAGCGTAGTGAAGGAGGCAGCTGCCGCCGCACCAGGTCCAAGGGACTTGATATTCTGTAAGCCGTAGTGCTCATAGTCCGACATCAGCGCCGTCTGGGTCTGCAACTCGACGAGAAACTGGGACACTGGGGTGGAGCCCTCGAGCCGGATCCGCATCGGCACAGTTGCGATCGCGAGACCCACGACCGTTTCGGCGTCCGGGCAATTCGCCAGGGCTCTTCCATGGACAGTCATTCCAAAAACCACATCCGACTCGCCATGGAGCTTGGAGATAAGCAGGGCCAGAGCGCCCTGGATCGTGGTTGCTTGCGTGATGGCGGATCGTCGTCTCGGGATGGGGACGTCAAATGTGATGGAACGGGAAGCGCGACATACCGGATGGTCAAGCGGAAGTTGGGGAAAGATAGTGCCATCGAACGATTCAAATTTTGAATGCCAGAAGCTTTTCGCCGCCTCGGATACCTCTTGTTGCACCGCGGCGGCGGCAAAGCGTGAGAACGGGGTCGAAGGGGCCGGACTCTCCTGATCGTACACTTTGCGAGTCAGGTCCAGAATCAGATGGGTGGACCACCGATCGTAGACTGCATGATGGACTCGCCATCGCCATATCAAGCGCTCATTCCCGGGATCTGTGTCCAGAAAGTGGACGAACAATGGTGATCCACAGCCCAAGGGAGCCGACGCCGGCCACGACTCCTCCAGCAGAGGCGTACTGGCGTCCACCCGCAGGGTGACATTATACAACCCTCCGTTGTGGTGTCGGATGATGCGGGTGCGCAGTATGGGAGTGGCGGTGACAACTCGGAGCCACGTCTCACGGAAAGCCGGCCTGGTCCAGGAGGGAGGCAAGTGGAAGGTATGCCCCGCCACGTATGTTCCCTCTTGCATCTCACTCAGGGTCATCAGCGCAGTCTGCATGGCTGTACAAGGGTAGACATCTTCAATAAGGCTCTCATCGACGGCGCATTCTCTGGCTGCCGTCGAAAAGAGACCCTCGGGGCAATTCCCCGGAAGTTCCGCCCAAGTGCTCCGCAGAGGGTTGGAAGGTTCAGCAGGTCGGGTTTTATCTTGCTCCATGATGCGGCGCACCATCTCGCCCAAGGTAGGATGCAGAAAGAAGTCGGACATGGACAGTAAGACGCCAATCCGCCGCAGCTCCTTGCAGGCTCTCATGGCGTAGAGGGAGTTCCCCCCAAGAAGAAAGAAGCTGGAAGATGGCTTGATGTCTGCAACGTCTGAGCCTAAAACCTTAGCCCAAACGATGGCGACCTGAATGGCCAGGGCGATGTCATGATCTCGCGGCGACTCCTTGCGGGAGGGTCGTAAGTCCATCAGGTCGGTCACTGGGTGCTGCTCGGCGAGCTGGATGATGCCCTTGCGATCAAGCTTGCCATTATGCAGCCGAGGGAGCTTGTCGACCTCCAAGGCGCCGATAGGGATCATGTAGCGTGGGAGAGCTTGGACCAGCAACTCGAATGAGCATTTAAGCCGCGCCTCGGACGAATGCTCGCCGGTGCTTTTTCGTTCGAAGGCCACGACCACCACGAGCGCCGGACCTCGCGCGTTGCCTTTTAACGTGGCCACGGTGACGGCCAGCTCCTTAACGTCGGCCAGTGCCAAGAACAGCTTCTCCTCCACCTCCTGCGGCTCGAACCGCTGGCCGGCAAGGTTCAGTTGGGAGTCGATGCGCCCGTGGTGCACCAGGGCGGCATTCGGGGCAGGTTGTGCGAACAGATCCCCCGAGCCAACAACAACGGGATGGCTGTTCTGTTCTCTTTCTGGACGACAGATCTTGCCATCGCGCAAGTAGCCGATGAAGTTGGTGTGGCTTTCGACCATGAGCTGACCCGTCTTGCCTGGGGGGACTCCCATGCCCGCGTCGTCTACGATCGAGCACCGACAGCAAGCAAGAGGATGACCGGCGTTCAAGGCTGCGGGCTCCTGCTCGGCCGTCTTGCCTGCGAGGACCATCATCGTCTCTGAGGAGCCGTAGTTCCAGTAGAGCTCCACGTGTGGCGCCCACGCCAAGGCCACATGGGACCGCATGGGCTCCCCGGCCACGACAATGCGGGTGAGGGAGGGGACGGTGCTGGGGCTCATAATTCGAAGCACAGAGGAGGGCAGCGTGGTTCGGGTGGCGTTGAAACGAGATATGGCATCCTCCAGACTGTGGGACTTCTCGGCCTCGGTAGGGATGCACAAACAGCCGCCGGCCGCCAGCGTGGAAAAGGAGTCAATAATGTTAACGGCCCAGCCAAACGAAGGGAAGAGAAAGTTGCGCACATCGGATGTCAAGTCCAAGGCTTTGCCGACCGCCACGGCCATGGTACTGAGGCTTGCATGGCTGTGGACCACGCCTTTCGGCTCTCCCGTACTGCCCGAGGTGCAGATGACGATGGCGGGTGCCTGAGGATCTACGTCGGGAAACTGATCACGCTCCGCTTGGGGTTCTAGCACTCGCCAGGTCAGATCCAAAGTGAGGCCATCCACCTCCGGCAGGTCGAGCTGCTGAGAGCGGGTGGTCAAGGCGATCAAATGGGTTAGCCTGCCGCTGCGGACGATGGTCTGGATATGAGAGTCGGGAAGGGAGGAGTTTAGGGGCACCGCGACGGCTCCGACTTGGAGGACGGCGAGGAGAGCCACGATCGCGGCCGGCGAGGACTCCGCCACGACGGCGACTCGGGATCCTGGGGTGAGGCCTTGTTGGACCAGCAGCCTGGTGTTCAGCAGCACCGAGCTCCAGAGGCTGGCGAAGTCGTAATGTCCCGAACTGGCGACAAGACAGACGCGTGACGGCTGCAGCCGGGCGTGGGCTTCTATTAATGTGGGGAAGAAAGTGTCTAGGTGAAATAGCTGGTCGCCCGCAGGGTCATCTGGCGGTTGCTGACAACTGCGCTGCAGGTTGTCGCTCGAGTTGCCCATCGTGGTTCTTTGGAAAGAAAGGTCGGCAGAGAGCGGAGCAGCAATACAACGCAGCGACACAGATAGGATAGGAGTGTCAGGAGATATGTATCGTCCAGTATGCACTTTCTGACATGGTCGGCAAGTAGAAGGATAAATTGAGCAATTTCTGTCTGGCTTCTGGTCCTCACAGTGCAACTGGGAACTTCTAGAGGGCTTGATATCCTCGGCACGACGCTGTTTACTTCCAGACCCCGAACCCAAGGGAGCACAGGTAGAACCTTAAGATTACGGATGGCCCGGCCAACATGGCTCCGGGGTTGGGTTTGGGCATGAGAAGCTTAGCTACGTGCCCCGATTCGTCGGGGAGCACCAGCTGATGCGGCTTTTCTGTCGTCAGCATGGCCGCGTTATGCACCTTGCGGTACTCGGCCATGGGGGCCTGGCGTTGTCCGATCGTAGCAGTTGCTCCGTCCATAGGCCCTACTTTTGCACTACAATTCGGCGATGTCTGCCACAAGGCGATCCAGCTTTTGACCAGACTTCATGGTGGTTGGACAAGCGTATGGCGGCTTAAGAGTTTGCGATACCGTCGACCGTCTTGGAAAGGGCTATATTTGAAAACTAGGAGGGACTACTTTTCTACGTCGACATCACCGATCTCCCGAGCGAGACCGAATCAGCGAGCCTGCTGTCTTACTCCAGGTCCATGTCAGCTCAACATGTTTCCTCGGAGTCTGCAGGACTACTATGCGTCCGACGTCGATGTCTCTGACGCGCAACTTCCTAACATCTTGCACCACGACATCACGGGGTTCGATGTCAGCGACATCAGCCGTCCAGTGACAGGCCAGAACTTTCCTGCATGGCATATCTGCAGTGCAGCCTGGTCCATCGTCCTTAGTCGCCACACAGGTCAGAGTACTGTAGACATCCTCACCACACATGGGGTCCCCAAGGTGGACTCGACCGGCGGAGATTCCAGTCCGTGGATACATGTCCATGCCTCCGTGGACGAGAAAACCTCTTTTCTTCACTTGCTTCAAAGTGGGTTGAAGATATCCGAGCACGAAAATCAGCTGGCCAGCCCATCATCATATTCTGCAGCGATCATTCACCCGCTGCCACTGGCGGAGTTGCCTCCCCCGCCCCAAACCACCTTTGGTTTGGCTATCCAGCTGTTTTTTCAGCGCCGAAGGACGATCCAGGCAATCTGCTACTATCGCCGCTGGCTGCCGGCACACTATACCAAGAAGCTGATGGATCACTTCTTGCACCTCTTACGGCATATTATAAACCACCGGTGTTGGGCAGGGCTCTACCTCAAGGATATATCGATGGTGCCTCTGCAAGAGGAGCTCCAGCTTCGTCAGCATAGTCTCCCTGGTCGCAGCATTGGTGACATGCAAATTGGGCCAGTTCACCAACTCGTCCGGCACCAGGCTCGGAAGAAACCATCCGCCCCTGCAGTTGAAGGCCGAGATGGCGATGTCATATCCTACCGCATGTTGGATCAAATGACCGACATGATGGCCGAAGACGTGGCCCGTCGGCTGGAGGATGTATGTCCCCGAGCGCTAAACACCGGTCTGGCTGTGGAAACGGGCCTGGTGATTGGCATCATGCTGCAGAGATCGCCAGGCGTGGTGGTCGCGATCCTGTCTTGCTGGAAGGCAGGATATGCGGTCGTCCTCGTCGATCCCAGTCAACCGGCTTCACGGAATACTCACATCATCGAAGACTGTGACTGTCCTCTTTTGCTGGTGGACGACTCATGGGCCGGCTGTGTTGGGAAAGGCATCGCCTGGGCGTATGATTTCCGGCGTTTGCGCGACCGAGTGAACACATCCCGCTTCCCTACCGATGCCTATCCGGGGTCAGAGGTGGACCTCTCCCAAGACCTTTTCCGCCCAGCTTGGATCCGGGTGACTTCGGGCTCGACCGGGAGGCCTAAATGCTCTCTACACAGCCATGCCGCGTTCGGTGCGTCCATTGCCAGCTACGCCGGCAGGATTCGAGCGTCCAAAACCCTGCTTTTTTTCAACCCGATCTCCTCGGCGTCGGGGACCCCGATTTGGAGCTTCCTCACCAACGGAGGATGCGTCTGCATACCTCCCCTGGAAGAGATCACTGCGGATTTGGCCGGCTGTATTGGCCGCTATGGCATCGAGGACATCTGCATCACTCCCTCCGCTCTCGCTCTCACGAGCCCGGACGCAGTGCCGTCCTTGAAAACCATCTCGCTCGTCGGCGAGGCGGTTCCGCAGACGCTTGCAGAAACGTGGAGCCAGCATGCCTCATTGTTAATCGGCTACGGGGCGACAGAGATGAACTCCCATGCGTTGCCCTTCCACAACGAGCCGTGAGTACAGTCTCCTCCGTGTGCAAATGACCACCAGCTCATATTCAGACAGCGCCGGCTGTCTCCCGCCGGGCCATCCACTTCCCACTTCCGACTACTCTCTCTACATCCTTCAACCGGGCACGACAAATGTTTGTCCTCTTTATGTGCCCGGCGAGATCTGCCTCAGCTCCACTTACATGTGCGCCGGATATATCAATAGTCCCGAAGCGACCGCTCGGGTCTTTCAGACCCATCCCTTTCCGGGGGATGCGGGGCATCCATACCTGTACCGCACCGGGGACTTGGGGATGTTCGTAGCCCCCGGTGTCTTCATTCTGCTCGGCCGAGTGGACTTTCAGTTCAAGATCGATGGAAATCGGATACAGCCAGAGGAAGTCGAAGCCATCATCAATCAAGTCCCGCACGTAGTCAAAAGCCGGGTGATGCTGGCCAAGTCCTCGATGGGACGTCCGATTTCGGTATGCTGTGTGAAGCTGAAGGAGACGGCTTTGAGCAACGGCGATCAAGGGGACTCTGCCAACGGCGAGTGGAAGGAGTTTGTGGCTGCGGCGGAACAGGCCTGCGCCACCCATTTGCCCGCGTACATGATGCCCCATCGATGGTTGCAATTCAAAAGCTTCCCCGAAACACCCTCCGCGAAGACGGACACGAGAGCTCTTCTCATCCTCGCCCAAGAACGCCTCGACCAAGAGGAAGAGGCGACCATGGGGCCGGTGGAACTGGAGACAACGCCGGGACTCATCTCTGGCAGAGGCAGACTATTCTTGGACCATGTTCTCGAGGTCTTGACCGGCCAGAAGCCTGACAGTTTGCCCGCGCAGATACGTGACCGCATGCAGTCCCTATCCTTCATCTTCAACGGAGGCACCTCGTCGTTGGCTCTGCGAGTTCGGGCTCAGCTTAGGAGCCACGGATTGAACATTAGCATCGAGCAGCTTTTCACCTCCCAGAGCCTGAGAGTGATCGCGTCGACCTTCTCCGCCACCGAAGGCGAAGCTATCGAAGGTCAGATGAAAACGCCCAGACCTCCTCTGTCGGTCACGGAGGCTCTGCTTCGGCAGTTGCCCAAGGGTCTCCAGCAAGATCCTGCGAACTATGAATCCGTATTCCCAACCACCATGCTACAGCGAGAGATGTTCGCGATCAACATCCTGGATTCCAGACAATGGATCTTTTACCAGTTCATGGACCTTTCTACATTCAGCTGCACACTGTCGCAGCTCCAGGAAGCCGTGGGTCATGTGGTGGCGGCAAAGCCCAACTTACGGACGGTGTGTTTGTCGCTCGATATGCCCAGTAATATCAAGACGATCGAGGCTCCCGACGATGCCTTTGACCTCGTGCGGGGCGGAAGGTTCGTCCTGGCTATCCTTAAACCCGCCGCGACTCGGTTTGAGCTCGCTCAAGACAATGAGATCGAAGAGCCGGAGATATATCGTAGCCAGGACGTCACCCGCAAGTGGACCTTGGGACGCCTCCTGTGGCGCGTCGCCTTTCTTGTCAAGCCCCGTCTGCTCGGCTGGACATTCCACCACTCCATCATGGACGACTCTGTTTCCCAGAATCTGTCTCGAGACCTGTATGCCATTCTGACGGCCATCGTGCGGCGCGACGAGGGCGACCAAGACGGATCCCAAGCTGTCACCGTCGAGCGCGTCCGCGCCGCCAAGCCCTCGATCGAACAATGGGTGGTGACCCAGTACGGCACTAATGGACTGGATGGCTCCCCTCTGTCATCCCATGTTCGCCGTGCCACACAAGTCTGGGCATCCTTCATGGCCGACGCCACCCCCACCCCGATCTCCGAACTCGCCCGACTGCCGGACGCAGCGCTGCCCGCGCTGCCCCTCCAGAAAACCGTCTCCGCTTTCGCCTACGGCGAGTGGTGTCGGGAACATCATGTCACCCCGGCGGCGCTCTTTCATGCCGCGACCGCCCTGACCATCGCGCGGTCGTTGGATTGGTGGCGTCCCCACCCCCCGCCGCGAGCGGAAGAGGTCACGTACTACCGCGTAAGCTCGAACCGCGGCACCTTGCTGGGCGCCGAGGCCATGGAGGGGGCCCTTCTTTCCATCAGTCCCATGCGAGTGGCCCTGGGGAGGGACTTCAGTGCCCTTGCTGTCGCACAGGGGGCGCTCCGGAACTGGCTGGCTACCCAGGACGCAGATCCGTACTATCTCGATGAAGCGCTCGCCCCTCCAGGCCCGGAGCTCGGGCCGCGACGACAGCGCCGGTGGGGCAATGTCTTACTGAACCATATCAGCCGCGATCCCCGGGACCACATTGACGGAGAAAACGAGGCGCCGGCATTCCGCGGGGTCGTACAGGACCGAGCGGGCTTCGCCATGGTGTGGCCGTTTGCCGCGATCGAATTGACGGTGGTCGAGCCGGACGCGTGGAAGGCGGATTCGCTTCAGTTGTGTGCGTTGACTGCCCTGGAGCGAGAGACGACGGAAGAGTTGCTGGGTGTGTTTGCGCGGATTTTGCGGCTGATTGTTGAGGGCGGGGAAGGGTTGAGTACTGCGGAGATCGTTCAGCGCGTATAGCAGGACGGTCTGCTCGGAGAAAGTCACCGAGGCTGACCTTTCTCCGGGGGGGGGGATCAATCGAGATGATGGCAGGGAATTGGCAAATCACCGGGTTGCTGTGATAACATATATCTGCTTCATCTTGCCCCCAATGCACGTATATTTCCAGGACCATGATTGTCCACCCAAACAAATACTCGCAGTAATGGCTTTCCGTCCACATGAACACAGTATCGACGTATCCAGCCTCGTGGGCAAGAACGCCATCGTGACAGGAGCTTCGCGCGGCATTGGGGCACAGATCGCCCGCTCCCTAGCCTCTCGCGGGGCGAACGTTGCCATCTGCTTTGCTTCCGAGACCAGCCGGCCCACCGCGGAGGCCCTTGCTTCGGAGCTGCGTGCGACTGGGGTGCTGGCGACGTGCGTGCAGGAAGATCTCGGGGTGGCCGGGGCCGGGCAACGTGTGGTCGAGAAAGCCCTGACGGGGCTCAACACCGAGACGATCGACATCCTGGTGAACAACGCGGCGCGGGATCCCCCGAATCCCACAGCGGTGCATGCACCAGATGCATCCATCTTTGACCGGTTGCTCTCCCTCTCCCCGGAGTAGTGGTTCTATTGGCCAGCCGCCAAACTGATGCGAAAATTGCTAGATTCATGCGAGTGAATGCCCGAGCTCCCCTCGAGCTCGTTGCCGCCATGGTGCCCCTGTTGCCCCGCTATGGCGGTCGAATTATCAGCATGTAGGGCCCTTCAAGTAGAAATTGCGTGGCACAAGGGTGCTGACAAGGATGCTCCTCGATCAGTTCGTCGGTGCTGGCGCAGCGGCCGGACGTGCCTTTCGCCGCCTGGGCCGCGTCCAAGGCGGCCTTGGAATGTCTATCGCGATACTGGGCGATGGAGCTGGCGAGCCCCCACGGGTTGACCAGCAATGTGGTGGCGATAGGCCCGACGATGACGGATTATCACGTCCATGACCCGCCCGCGGTCCTCGAAGAGCTGGCCCAGCTGCCGAGTGCCGCTAAACGGCTCGCCACGACGGATGACATTGCCCAGATTGTGGTCTTTTTGGCGAGCGATGCGGGCCGGTGGATCAACGGGGATGTAATACAGGGTAATGGCGGCATGGTCTTCGGCTAGATTGAGGTCTCTGCGCAGAGCTGCGGATTTTCCTGCGGCCCTGAGCCCTGAGCCCCGACCACCGAAAACGGGGACTGACTCAAATAGACGGAATACATAACATAACAGCCCCCGCGGCCATGATCAGAGAAGAAACAAGTAAAGTAGACCAGTATACCATTCATCGTACGCCGTGCCCACCATGACCACCCAATTCGCCCTCTCCCCACAGCACGTCACGAGCAGCCTGGGTGCGGCAACCGAACCCCCCGTCTCCGCCGAATCCGTCACTCGGGCGAACCGCCTGCTCCAACTCAACCATGACAAGTGGCACATCTTCTTCCGCGATGTGACTGGCCACAACCACATGGCCCACAGCATCCTCACCGCTTTGGCTCTGGGCGCCTCCTCCTCCGAGCTGGAACGCGCCTACGCGGACACGGAGGCCATCCAGCGCCCCATCCCCGCGGTGGACTCCAAGCTCGTCGCCCAGCTGTGCGCCGATGATCAAGCCCTGGGGCCCCTGCTTGGCCGATGCGACCTGTATGCGACCTTCTTGGCCTTCTTCCAGACGCAAATCGACACCCACGGCTGGCAATCCGTGGTGACCAAATACGTCTTTTCGCGCACGCCGCTCGCGGAGAAGCTCCTGATCAAGATGTACGAAGGGATGTACCACTCGCTCATTCACCTGGGGCTGGGCATCGAGTTCGCACAGCCGGGCCTCATCGCCGAGGCACTGGCACAGGCAGCCTCGCACGAGGACGGGCACATTAACCGACTCCTTTTCGGGGTCGAAGCGGCGATCACAGCAGATGCCCCCGCTCCGCCGCAGCCAAAATCGCTCCTTCAACTCGTCAGCGAGGTGCGCGCCCACCCGAGCATATGCGCGGATCTCCGCTTCGGTGACCGCTGGAATCGCATGCGCGACAGCATCATGGGCCATGCCGTCGTGGAGGAACTGACGCCCATCGCCGCGCAGTTCCGCATCACGCCCGAAACCCTCGCGCGCCGCACGGCCGAGATGATTAGCACCGCGGCGTACCTGGCGGGAGCCAGCCAGCGGAGCGGCCGCAAACGCAAGATCGATTTCTTCCTCATGCACACAGTGACGGCCTCGCTCTTTTTCAGTGTCTTCACGGCTCAGGAGTGGATTCCGCTGGCCGACCGGATCCGGCTCGTTGAGTGGAAGGGTCGGCTTGACCTGGCCTTCTACGCGTTCTGTAACTGTCCCGAGCTGGATGGGAGTGCGGTGACCGAGTACGTCGATGACTTTACCGGAGAGATGGATTGGGCGGCGTTGTATGCGGCGGTGAACAAGGAGCATGATGATGGGCATGTGGCCAAATTCATGCGGGCGTTGCGGCATGGGGAGGAGGTGGTCAAGCCGTATGAGGAGGATGAGGTGTGGGCAGGGTATCTCCCCGTCAAGGGAGAAATGTGGGTGAAGTTGGCGAGGATGGCTTTGGAGACGACGAGGCAATCCCCCCCAGATCTTAAGTGGATTCTAGGCACCGGATTCAATGAGGCATGGCTGAGGCCGGATTTGCAGTAGGGCATATATAAAGGGTTCTAAATTATATAGTTACTTGAAGCAGTGCTCTCTCGAATGGATTCAACCTATTCAACCCGGTTGGTTCTAAGCCGGCCCAGGACTGGGCAGATACGCATGCAACCAAGGAAAGTAATACCGCAGCAACCCCGTCAAAAGACATCCTGGCGTTCCCCGGGGAAAGCCGGCACTGCCATTTGTGTTCACCACGCTCACATTCTTCATATCGTATTGTCCGTCGGGGTCATCCGACGCTTCTACCATTGCCGCCGCCAGATCCAAGTAGGAGACAAACGACTCCTCGTGATCAAGATCCAGCCGATGGCCTCGCTGCTTGTCGACCGACAGTCCGCCGGGCTTGATGAAGATGGTCGTCACGAGCGATTCATGGGCCCGCAAAAACTCCTCTGTCCGTCGCAGGTCATCGTAGACATGCTTCGCGGCGGTCAACAAGATCGCCCGGAAAAGCCACGGCATATTCCGCGAGAGATGATCGTCGATGGTCGCGGACGACAGGAGCACGATCTTGGGCAACTTCGCCGCAGCCGGAGATGCGCCCGCGGTCTGGATTTGCTGCAAGGCCGTAATGAGGGACTTGGCCGTCTGGAGCCCGACGTTGCAGCCCGGAATGTTTGTGTTGGTGCTCACCACGTGGAATACGGCCTTGGTGTTCTTGATGCACTGGGCCAGGAGGTCGACATCGTAGATACTGCCCTGGAAGACCTCAACGCGCTTGTTGTCGACGAGGAAAGGCACCAATGCCAGGAGTTTCTCTCGGTTGCGGCAATAGGCGTGGACCTTTGCGTTGTGGTCCCGCGACAGAATGTCGAGGAGGGCGGTGCCACAGTTGCCGGTGGCGCCAATGATGGCATAGGTAGACATGGCTGTGAGGACTACTGCTAGGAGAGACAGCCAAATGGAACACTGCTTGTCTGGACTATAAAATGGCACCGACCTGACAGACGAAGCAAGGTCTGATGTCGGAGATCCCACACGGCCTTCGGCAAACGCTCGCCGGAAGTGAAGCCCGACAGGCAGTGCGCATCAATTCTTCCCCATCTGGCGCTTTTAAGAAGTACCAGCATGGCTAGGCAGTCGCTAACTCTGGTAAAAGACAACAGATGTCTCAGGCCGCGCAGTAACAATGGGCGAAGAGCTACGACATCATAGATTGGCATCGTCTCGCCCGATGCATTGAGTCCACGCTCCGGCTAAGTAATGAACTACCTTGGCCATCATCAATAGGTCACCATTCCCGCTTCTAACACGCCGCTGGCCAGATCTAAAACGGGCATGTTCCAAGAGGGAACATCACTCTGTACGTAGTGTGTTATTGCACGCTGATGCCATCGTAGTCAAATACCTCAGCAACCAGATAGCCCGAGATCCGGAAGGCCGTAATCTTCTTCCGACAAGGACATATAGGAGTGCCGCTACCGCTGCCGATGTTTTTGCTCTCCAGTGGAGGCCTGCACCGGCCCTGCGCCCTGGGTAAGCGTCTCTTTTCGTGATGCAAATATCGTTCGCGGCTCGTCTCTCGGAGATCGGCCATAACGGAAAATGCACACGCAGAGGAGGTTTCTTCACAGGTATATCAGTTCGTAACATGTGGACTGGACCAGGGCATTCAGCATGCGAAGTGACGTTGTCCATGTTTACAGGTAATCATGGTGATCTATACACCTTCCCGCTCTGACGCTGAAGGTGAAAGAGAGCCTGTCAATCTTCAAGTTCTTTACTTCTCCAATGAGCTCCCTCACGATGGCCTGCATACCCTCTTTCGGAACCTGCACCGTCACAGTAAGGATCGAAGACATCCTCTCCTCGCCCGCTTCCTCGAGGAAGCCACCCTCGCTCTTCACGAGGAGGTGTGGGACTTGTCCGCCAGCCTAAATCAACTGGTGCCCCCTTTTGAGTCGATCCTCAACTTCGCCGCCTTTACCGACCTGCGTCAAGGTCCTCTGTGTGGTTCGGTGGAGGGCGTTCTTCTCTGTACAGTTCAGCTAGGAACCTTGATCGGGTACGTTCGATGGTCGCTTGACGCGTCGATGGTGGCATGAAGCTGACGGGGACAGATACTATGAGCGGTATCCGGAAGCCTTCAATCATGATAGAATGAACACGGTGCTGACCGGCCTCGGAACGGGCCTTCTGTCTACTGCTGCCCTTTCGTTGGCTCCCACAGTGGCGGATCTTCCCTTATCCGCCGCACAAGTGGTCCGGCAGGCTTTCCGTCTGGGAATCCTGGTCGACGAGGTCTCTCAAAATCTGCAGCTTCGCGACACGACGAGCACCGGCACGCCAGACTCTTGGGCGTATGTGATACCCGGGGTCACCGCCGAGGAGATCCAGCAAGACCTTGACTTACTCCAGGACCAGACTCCCGACACCAGCAAGGTCTTCATCAGCGCGGCGAGTGCATCGTCGGTCACGGTCAGTGGTCCGCCAGCCCGGCTGAAGGAACTCTTCCGTACGTCCTACGTCTTCAGCAACCGCAAATACGTGCAGTTGCCAGTGTATGGAGGCCTGTGCCACGCGAGTCGGGTCTACCACGAAGAGGACGTGCATCGTGTCGTTCGGACGCTGTCGATGGCGACCCTCGACGCCCGGACCGGGCCGCGCATCCCAATCTTGGCTACGAGCACAGGGAAGCCCTTCGAAGGCAAGAACGCGACGGATATGTTCGAGCACATCATCCACGAAATACTCACACGGAGAATCCAGTGGGGGGAGGTCGTCCGGGGCGTCGTGCAGCAGGCAGAAGGCATGGGAGCGGTGCAATGCCACTTGGTGGTCTTCCAGAATTCGCTCCCCAGCCATGACCTAATGGCGGCCCTGAAGGAAATTGAACCGGCCATTGAGGTCTCGACAGAGGAGATCATTTCCCGGTTGCACGGGAACCAAAACCTAGCGGACGATCTCGGGCCTCGAGGTCCCCTTCAATCCAAGATCGCCATTGTGGGCATGGCTTGCCGGTTGCCGGGAGGGGCGACCGACACTGAAACGTTCTGGGAGCTGCTGGAAAGCGGGCTTGATGTACATCGCAAGATCCCAGCTGACCGCTTCAATGTCGAGACGCACTATGATCCAAGCCAAAAGAGGCTGAATTGCAGCTGGACCCCCTATGGGTGCTTTATCGACGAGCCGGGCTTGTTTGATGCTCCCTTCTTCAATATGTCTCCGCGGGAGGCCGAGCAGACGGATCCAATGCAGCGCCTCGCCCTGGTGACTGCCTATGAGGCGCTGGAGAGAGCTGGTTATGTCGCCAACCGCACAGCATCGACCAGGTTGCACCGCATTGGAACCTTCTATGGCCAAGCAAGCGATGACTATCGGGAAGTCAACACGGCGCAGGAGATCAGCACGTATTTTATTCCCGGTGGATGCCGAGCGTTTGGCCCTGGGCGTATCAACTATTTCTTCAAGTTTGCCGGGCCAAGCTTTAGTATAGATACCGCCTGCTCCTCGAGCTTGGCCACCATCCAGGTGAGTACATTTTTACCCTCACTGCTGCCATCTGATCAATGCTCAGCAATCCGGCTGGTCTAGGCTGCCTGTACCTCGCTGTGCAATGGGGAAACGGACATGATCGTGGCTGGTGGGATGAATGTGTTGACCAACTCAGACGCGTTTGCTGGCCTCAGCAACGGCCATTTCCTGTCCAAAGGCCCAAATGCCTGCAAGACATGGGACTGCGAGGCGGACGGTTACTGCCGCGCTGATGCAGTGGCATCCATTGTGCTGAAACGCCTAGATGATGCCGAGGCAGACAATGACAATATTCTGGGGGTCATCGTGGGCGCGGGCACCAATCATTCTGCTGAGGCTGTCTCCATCACGCATCCTCATACCGGCCACCAGGCAGATCTGAGTCGGCTAGTGTTGAACCGCGCCGGGGTCGATCCCCTGGATGTTAGCTTCGTGGAGATGCATGGCACTGGCACACAAGCCGGTGACATGGAGGAGATCCAATCTGTGATGAATGTGTTTGCACCACTCACCAAGCACCGGAGTGTGAAGAACCCCCTGTATATTGGAGCTGTTAAGTCTAATATTGGCCACAGTGAGGCTGCAGCTGGAGTGACTGCGCTGATGAAGGTGCTACTAATGATGCAGAAGAATGTAATTCCACAGCATGTTGGTATTAAGAATACACTCAACCCCAAGTTCCCCAAGGACATGGAGGCGCGGAACATCCACATCCCGTACACAAAGACCGACTGGCCGCGCCCGGCCGGGAAGAGGCGCCTGGCGGTCATAAACAACTTCAGCGCGGCCGGAGGCAACACGAGCGTGGTAATCGAGGACGGGCCAGTGCCCATCAGAGTCGGGACAGACTCCCGTCCCATGCATGTCGTTTCTGTCGGGGCTAAGAGCAAAGTTTCCCTCCGCGGCAATATTGAGCGGCTGCTAGCATATCTCGAACAGCACCCCGATGTCGCCCTGGCTGATCTTTCCTATACTACTACCGCTCGCCGTTACCACCATAATCACCGTGTGGCCATTGCGGCTGCAGATATCGGGCAGGTGCGAAAGCAACTGTCGTCTGCTCTGGCTACTGTTGATTTACACAGGCCAGTCTCCATGATGGAGCCACCCCCCATCGCCTTTGCGTTCACTGGCCAGGGAGCATCTTTTAAATCCTACAATCTTGAGCTGTTCCATCAGGCACCATACTTCCGTGCCCAGATCCTGCAGCTCGATGCCATTGCCCAACGCCAGGGATTCCCATCCTTCCTCTCCGTTTTAGACGGAAGTCCTCAGAACCATCTCCATTCCCCAGTCACCACGCAGCTGGCGCAGATCTGCACACAGATTGCACTAGCCCGATATTGGGCTACGCTGGGCGTGAAACCGGATGTGCTTATTGGGCACAGTCTAGGTGAGTACGCTGCTCTGCAAGTTGCTGGTGTCCTGTCTGCCAGTGATGTGATTTTTATAGTCGGCAACCGGGCCCGGATGTTGGAGCAAAGATGTCAGGTTGGCAGTCACAAGATGGTGGCTGTGCGCGGCTCCGTGGAGCAGATCCAGCAGATTGCTGGCGGCCGTCCATACGAGATTGCGTGCATCAATGGGCCCACAGACACGGTGCTGAGCGGCACAGTAGGCGAGATGGATGGCTTGCTCCCAATCCTAGAGCAAGCTGGATACAAGTGTTTCGGTCTGGATGTTGCCTTTGCGTTCCACTCAGCCCAAGTAGATCCCATCCTAGATGACTTTGAGGCGCTTATTACCAGTGGCGTTCTCTTCCAACCCCCGCAAATCCCAGTCATCTCTCCCCTCCTTACCAAGGTGGTCTTTGATGACAAGTCCATTAATGCCACGTACATGCAGCGTGCAATCCGCGAGGTGGTAAACTTCCGGTCTGCCTTGGAGGCAGCGTACGAGATGGGTGCCATTAATGACGAGACGGCATGGATTGAGATCGGGCCGCATCCAGTCTGCATGGGCTTCGTCCGGGCGACGCTGACGTCCAGAGTCCCCGCAACTGTGGCGTCTTTGCGGCGCGGAGAGAATAACTGGATCGCCCTAGCGCAGAGTCTGGCCACGCTGCATTGTGCGGGGGTTCCGATTGCCTGGAACGAGTTCCACCGGCCGTTTGAGCCAGCACTCCGACTTCTTGACCTGCCGTCATACGCCTGGAACGACAAGACCTACTGGATCCAGTACAAGGGTGACTGGGCGCTCACCAAAGGGAACATCTTGTACGACGCAGAAAAGGGGCTCTGCGGGCCCCGCGGAAACCCAGTGAAGTGCAAATCCAGCCTCAGCACGTCGACAGTCCACCGGATTGTGGATGAGAGCTTTATCGGCGCGGCGGGCACCGTGGTGATGCAGGCGGATCTGATGCAAGCGGATTTCCGGGCGGCCGCGTGGGGACATAAGATGAACAACTGCGGCGTGGTGACTTCGGTGAGTCTCATTCGCGGCACCCTCTGCATCCTTCTGTCACTAACCAATGACTCCCTAGTCCATTCACGCTGACATTGCATACACCCTGGGCGGGTACCTCTACAAGAAGCTCCAGCCCCGTTGCACCGAAGTGCACATGAATATCGCCAACCTCGAGGTGCTAAAAGCTCTCGTGGCGAATAACAAACCGGACAAGCCCCAGCTCATCCAAGTGTCAGTGTCGACGACTGACAGCCATACCGCGCACATGAAATGGTTCAATGTGCAGCCCAACGGCGCAGTACAGGAGCCCTTCGCCAGCGCGACCCTCATCTATGGGGCCCCCGGCGACTGGCTCGCCTCGTGGGCACCACTCGCCCATCTCGTGCAGGGGCGCATTGAGCAGCTGAACCAGCTCGCCAGCAAGGGTATTGCCACGCGCTTCAGCCACAAGATGGCATACCAGCTCTTTGCAAACAGCCTCGTGGACTACGCGTCCAAGTACCGCGGCATGCAGTCTGTTGTGCTCCACGAGCTGGAGGCGTACGCAGATGTGCAGCTCTCGCGCGAGCAGGGCGGGTCCTGGACCGTGCCTCCATACTTCATCGACAGCGTGGCCCACCTTGCCGGGTTCATCATGAATGTCTCGGATGCCGTCGACACCAAGAACTACTTCTGTGTCACGCCCGGCTGGCGGTCGATGCGCTTCGCCAGACCACTGGTTGCCGGTAACAAGTATCAGTCATACGTCAAGATGATTCCTACCGCCGACGATAGCTCCATCTACCTGGGCGACGTCTACGTGCTGCAAGACGGAGTGATCGTGGGCACAGTGGGCGGCATCCAATTCCGCCGGTATCCGCGCATCCTGCTGAGCCGGTTCTTCTCCGCACCAGATGATCCGAGTGCGCCGCCGGTTACCACGGCGGCGCCAGCGGTGGCACAGGTCCCCGCTGTGGTGCCCAGGGCGACCACCAGCGCCACGCAGCAGGCTCCTGCAGCTCGCGCTCCTCGGTCTCTTCTGCCCTATAATCCTGCTCCGCTCCCCACTCCTCCCGCAGCCACAGGTCCCACCCAGTCCCCTCTAGCCGAACAGGCCGACGCCATCACGACAAGTGCCTTACAGATCATCGCCGATGAAGCGGGGCTAGAACTAGCTGACCTGACGAATGATCGCGACTTCGCGGGCCTGGGCATCGACTCTCTCATGAGCCTCGTGATTGCTGAGAAGTTCCGGGAGCAGCTGCGCGTGGTGGTGTCGGGCAGTCTGTTCCTCGAGTATCCGACGATTGGAGACTTACGGTCTTGGCTGGAAGAGTATTATAGTTGATGCGACCTTGGCATGGCTAGGAATCCGAAGGCGAATTTTTCATGTGTTTTACCAAGTAGGCTCGACCGAGCAAGGTATCATATTACGCCCCGGCGCATATGACTGTCATGTTTAGTTAGCCGTTCTGAATGATCGACTGATATACTGCCTCTATGCTCCCATTCGTGGTACTATACACTCAATCGTATCCATTTCCGCCCACAGCCAGGTACTACCAGCTGGAACATCGACCTGCCGACTCACATGTATCGCGTTGCGCAATACTATCCAGCATCTCCGAGATTTCTCTTCCCGGAGCAGGACCTAGGCAGGATCCCCTCCCCGGACCAGGATACATTCCTGCGCTCCGTATGGGCCTCGGGGTTGGCGAGGTGCGATGGCTGATGTCCGACTCCGGTCAACCAACCATATAAACAGCAGACGAATACAGTGGGTGAAGACCATATCGGTCCAACCATTCTCTCATCCCCCGCCATGGTCGATGCCTCCAACGTCCCCGACACTCCGCCGCGTCCTGCGGATGACAGCACCGGCCAGTTTCTCTGCCTCACCATCTGCGGATATCGGCGCCCGGGCATGAACGAAACAGACTACCGCAATCATATGACGCAGGTTTCCGCCCCGATGACTGCCGATCTGATGGTCAAGTATGGGATCAAACGATGGACGATGGTCAGTGTTCTGTGCTCCCTCTCCGGGGGCTGATCCTCTCATGGCTACTAAACCACACCCACAGATCCACAACACCGCCGAGAGCCGCGCTCTCATGAGCCAGCTGTTCGACCGTCAAATGGCCAACCTCGCGGACTTTGACTGCTTCAGCCAGGTGGTGTTCAAAAGCCTGGCGGACTACAAGCGACTGAAGGAGGATCCGTGGTACAGGGAGCATCTGGTCGGGGACCATGAGAAGTTTGCTGATACTCGGCGAAGTATTATGACCATCGGGAGGGTTACTGAGATTGTGCACGATGGGAAAGTGGTAAATTGTATCGCCCGCCCAACAACCGTCTTGCTTCGTCACCCACTCCACATCTCATCCATCAAGGCAGAAGCCACCGCCGTGATGACTGGCTCCTTTCTCGCAGGTGCCATGATGTCTCTCTCCCTCATTGCTGTCCCCGCCCTCCTCGACAGTACGCACGAAGCCCCGCAGCTCTTCTACCAGTGGACGCGCATTTACCACTACGGCCACTGGGTGCTGCCGTCGATGGCCGTCGTGACCTCCATTCTATACGGCTACGCGGCCGCACAGCAACGCCGGCGCCAGAAGAAGACTTGGATCTCGTTCGCCCTCGCCGCCGTGATGACAGTGAGCATCCTGCCATTCACGTGGCTCTTCATGGTTCCAACCAACGACGAGCTGTTCCGGCTGCAGACCATCAGTCAGACGGAGCCGGCGGTCATGGGGATCGACGCAGCCAAGGCCTTGGTCGTCCGTTGGCGTGACATGCATTCTTTGCGGTCCTTGTTCCCCTTGATAGGGTCGATCTTGGGGACAGTGGCGTCAGTGGGGCGGTAGACGTCCCGGGGAAGGGGGAGCGGAACTGGAAGATGACCTCGACCGGACCCCAGATGCGGCCGAGGCCAGATGGTAGTCAGGTTTTCCACAGGCATTATCCAAGAGCACAAGTAACGAGTATGGCCTACGCTGTATGTTTGATCTCAAGGTGGGGATACTTTCACTGGTATCTCGGCAGATGTCGCATGGGATCATTTGACTGGTCTGTACAGGATGTTCGTGCCGCGTAAAGATTTCGGCATTGAGTTGAATCCATATCGGAGATGAGAATTCACTGTTGGAGATGGCATGAAGGATCCAGGCATAGATGAAATAAGATCTACTTGGCGATACGATGCGGTTCTCAACTCCAATTTGTTGATTCTCTATTCGAACAGTGATATAGTGTAATCCCACGAGTGTCGAGACATGGGGGGTTGCTCAACCCCGGAAGTCGGTCATCGCCCCTGAGGGTGCCTCCCCGAGGTCCGAGACATGCGCACTACTGGAGACAGTAGTGGACCTGTTTTCTTCCCGGGAGAGTTGGTATTTTTCTAGTTGCTTTCCCTATACATCTGTCGTACACCCGGAGATCTCGACCCGAGGCGGTGATTGTTGGCTCGAGGGGTTCCTTGCTCCAGCCTAGCTTAGACCAATAGATTGCTGCAAAGATAGCCGCAGTGGAAAGACAGGATATGATAGATTTCTGTGAGCGGAACAGGGCGGAGGCGGGGAGTCCGCGCTGACTACAGTCGCCGAGTACTGTGTATCTCCTTCCGGGTTCTCAATGGGGTAGATTGCCAAAACAGCATAGCCTGTGCACCTAGTGCGCGTCGCGAAACTGTCCAAACGGCAGAAGCAGACCACACATGGGATCGGCTGGGCCGGTATTAATCAGCTCTCTGGTCGAAACTGTAGTGCTACAAAGAGGTCGTCGATAGCTCCATTGCACAGCCTACTACATCTCCCCTTCGCTCCACTGGATTTCTGGTTCTTGAATCCCAGATTGAACATTCTCTGAGTCGTTAATTGACGAGCCATACGTCGGGACCTGGCTAGTAATCGCTCGCGCCTGGCACTAAGGTTCGCGCACAGCCATGACCCAAGATCCCGTCATCGGCGACTACTACGTCGAGCCGGCCAATGTCCCCCTGGTCGACTTTCGCATGCTCACCTCGCCCGACGCGGCCCAGCGAGGGGAAGCCTTGGTCTTACTGGACACGGCTTTTCGCGAATGGGGATTTGTTCAGATCTGCAATCACAGCATCGGGTCCGACAAGCTCCACCAGGCCTTCAAGTGGGTAGGTTGTTCGATCTCCAACACCAGGTCCTCACTAACCCGCGAGAACAGGCCGAGCGCTTCTTCGCGCAGCCCTCGGCAACAAAAGAGCTGATCGCGCACCCGGGGACCGGTGATATAGATGCAAACCGCGGCTGGACCAAGGCTGGCCTGGGGTATACCGTGCAGATGGAGTTTGACGAGGACAAGGTGGCCGCCTTCCGCCAGCAAAACCCGGACTGCAAGGAAACCCTGGAGCTGGGCAACCCATTCGATGCGGAGCTGGGCCACAACAAGTGGCTACCGGAGACGACCCTGCCCGGCTTCCGGGGCTTCATGGAGTCCTGGTGGACGGACTGTGCGACACTGGCCCAGGGCCTGTATCGCTGTCTCGGGGAAGCGCTGCGCATTGGCAAGGCGGAGGAGGCGGACTGCTACTTCAGTCGCATCCATTCCGCCAACGACTGCCACATGACGTGGAACTTCTATCCTGCGATGCCGGTGCGGGCTTTTAATGCGGACGGCGCCAAGCGCCTCAACGCGCACACGGACTTTGGGACCCTGACGCTTGTGTTGCAGGACGCCGTCGGCGGCCTCGAAGTCCACGATGGCCGTTCGTTCCGGCCCATCGTGCCCGTCCCGGGCGCTGTTGTTGTCAACGTGGGCGACATGCTCGAGCAGCTCTCTAACGGCCGATGGCGGAGTGCCTTGCACCGAGTGGTTGCACCGGGGCAGTTGATGCAGCCGCACCGCGAGCAGGAGAGCGAGACGAGTGTGGTCGACCGGTATTCCCTAGTCTTTTTTGCAACGCCCAACCGGGGCGAGTTGATCACAATCGCGCCGGGCTGTGAGACACCAGGGAAATGGATGCCAAACATGAGCGGGGACTGGGGCCCTCTCACGGCCTACCAGTGGATCCAAAAGAGGCTGGCAGTGGATTATTTTTGACGCAGTAGTTTACCGTGCTCTTATATGCACCTAAAATCGACTGCTCAAAAAGGTTATGATGCTTACCTATGGTATTCAAGGCAGAATTCCGTGTATTTCGCCTCCTTATTGACGCGTTGGAAGCCGCAATACCATTATGAATTGAGAAATCACTAGTATTTCACATTTAAATGATCAATCCATAAAGGTCTGATTCTTCTCAATCTAGTATCTAACGAAGGAATATTTATATTCCCAGGGGTACCAGAATCACATCTCAGGGACTAGACTGTGGGTATCCAGCTTATTCCAGCAAGAGAAATATGTAAAGAATTCCGAATGAGGAAAGCAGCAAATTATATCAATAACATGGTTTGACCCATTCTCAGAGATGCTAAGAGATATGAATGGTAAAACAAGAGGAGAAATCAGGCTGGATCTTATGGAATAGGTAAGCAGTAATTTATACAGGAACAAATCATGCCGTAGCTTTGCATATAACATACCACATGAATTGGCCTTTGCTGAATTTGAAGATAATGTGAGCAAACCACCCGCAGAAAGCCAGTCCTGCTTCCCAACCATTAGTGCGCCGGAATCCCATACCACTGCTTTTCACCCCGGCGAAGTCGGAAGGCGACCCTCCCATCCGCCGCCAACTTGCGCAAGATCTCCTCCATGAGTGGCTCGACTGCCATCTCCCGGACACGAGGGTCTAAGTTGTCCCCATGCATCGCAGTCACCAACTGCTTGACCGTCAAACTGCACGGGCGGCTACCACTCCCGGGCACGCTCCATGTCAGCTGGTCCAGCGCGGCCAGAACCTGGAACTCGCGCCTCGTCTTTGACGCCAGCTCGGTGGTGATCTTCCCCGGCAGATTGCAGATCGGGGCGCCATGCGCCGGGTAGCCAATGGGGCAGCCGTGTGACTGCATAAGCCGCAGCGATTGCATCCAGGGCCCGAGCTCCTCGACAGCGGCACTGCCGTGCCCGAGGACGTTGTCGCCGGTGAACTGGAGTAAATTCATTATGTCAGCCAGACTCGGAAGCAGTGTGGCGGGGGTGGTGAGGATGAAGAAGGAGGAGGAGGAAGAGAAGGAGCAATGTGGACCGACCATTGCATTTTCTTCTTCCAGGATGAAGCACATGTGGTCGTGCGAGTGTCCGGGGGTGTGCACGGCACGGACTGTTGCGCCCTCCACACGGAACACCTGCCCGTCGACGATGGGTTGCAGGGCCGGGCCGGGCGTATGCTTATAGATGGAGTCGACGAGGTGGGGATACAAGCGCAGGAGGTCGGGAACGCCGCCAGTGTGGTCCCCATGCCAGTGAGTGAGCAGAACATGGGAGAGTGCGGCGTGCGTGGCCGACAGGATGTCAGCAATCAAGTTGGCCCATTCCGGGATTCCCTGGCCGGTGTCGATGAGGAGGCGTCGCGCCCCCGTGCCCACGATATAGGTGTTAGTTCCTTGCAGAGTGAACTGGCCGGCGTTCTGCCCCAGGACGCGCAACACGCGCGGGCTGATCTGCTCGACATCCGCAAGCTCGGGCAGCCTCGAGATCTGGGCTTCAAGGTAGTCTTCGAACGCGCCGATGTTGAGCGCCTTGTTGATTTGCCGATAGCCGCCTTTGTACTGCAGTTTCGGGGCAGAGGCTGGTGGGTCGGAGGCGCCGTCGTCAGCCATTTCCTTACGCCTGTATCCTTTGCCTTCTTCCGTGTATTACCCTGTGCATGCATGAGAAGCTTATAATCTTGGATAGGTATATATCGCAGGGAATGTGAATGGGTGATCTTCCGCACCTCCGAGTGGCAACCTCGGACATGGTCACGGCCATCGGAGCGACAGAACCCCCAGCCTGGGATCACCAGGGGGGATGCCGGACAAGTAACCCCAAAAGCGCACTAGTCTCTGCCCTGTCCTGCCCGAATACCTGATCATGGCGCTCGTGTCTTCCCTGGCGGTGATGAAAGTGTAGCAAACCGAAAGCAGACGCACGTCCATTTGCAGGCCGTGGCTCCTAAGATCTCACAACACCGAGTGTGGAACCCTTGCAGAATTCCATCATCCTACACCCCGCATCTGGTTGCAGTGAGATCGCTGGTCCTCTTGTTTAGTACCTGGCTCGTCTGAATACCCTTTCCACTGGACATCAGCACGGGATCTTTACTAAAGCGCCACAGCATGGTGTGCGACTAATGGTATAAGCGGGAAGTTGCGAACATATCTCTATATAGAACTATAGAGGGCGGAGGACAAGGAGAGTGCAGACGGTAGAAAGTACTGCCCTGAAAAAGTACAACGCGCCCTTGTATGTAGTTGTGCTAGGAAGCATGAATTCTCATAGCTACAGCGTTGGATGACTCTCGCCCTTGCCCGTTCCTACCGGTCCGCATAAGCCTGATACTTGACTTCCAAGGCAATCGCGCCATTGCTCGCCACGGATTTCACCTTATTCACAACAACAAACTTCCCCTCGCTATCACCCACACCATTTACAAGATTGATGAGTTCCGAGATCTCCGGCTCCCGCTCATCCGCCAACTGCAGGAATGATAGGTCCCGGATGCGTGTGAGCACCGCGACTTCGGTGCTCATGGTCCCCTGTTCCGGTAATGCTGGGGCCGTGAGCACCAGCGTGGCCGACTGGCTCATGCGAAGGGCATGCAAATGCGCCCGGAGCTCTGTCTCAATGCGCGCGGTAATGGAGGACGACAACACCCCCGGGATCGGCAAGGGGAAGTTGATGATATAGATCGCCGCGTCTTGGATATGCTGCGGAGTGCCGGGATTGCGGTACTGCACCGTGATATGCGGGTTTGAGCTTCTGGACCGTGTTTTGTCGTACTTGGCCCTGCTCTTGCCGCCTGATGCTGCACTTGGAAAGTGAATTTGGACGGTGAAACGAAGGGTGGGATATTGATTTGCGAGCGCGACCGCTCGGTCCGTTGAGCGCGCTCCGACCTACCGATGGACGCCGTCAGTACAGAAAGAAGGAACCGGGCGCAATTGACACCGGGGCAAGGCATGATTTACCTCAACAACCGACGCATTGGCTGCTTGGAGCGGCTCCAGGCAGGAGAGAATATCCGTGGCAGTATCGGAGACATTGCCTGTCCCGAATCGCAAATAAGCATGCCACTGACGCTCCAGCCGGGGGGGGACCGTCTCGCTTGGATCCAATAAGTGAGCGAGACTGGCTGGGGTATTCCCCAGTTCGTTCTGGGCAGTCCTTTCGCCTAGGTCCGCAGAACGCTGCCGGGTGACGAGAGGCATGTTCAGGGCAGCTGGAGTGGCGATTCTTGCCAGGAACATCATGGCATCGAAATAGGAGGGATTCGTCACAAAGGCGGCCGACAAAGCACTGTGGGCCATGTAGCCTGGTTGAGGCTCCCGCAAGAACCCCGCCGTCATCGACATGCGGACGATACGACAGATGTGCGTCTCCGGCACGCCGACGAGCTCCGCGATATCTTTAATGGAGGCGCTGCCATCCAGCGGAATGCAGGCCGGGACTTGGAACTCTGCTAGCCATCGTAAGCACGCAAGCAGTTGGGCCTAATCATCAGGCAGTCAGAGTCGCAGTGCTCAGATGGCCCTCGTTCGAACAACAATGGGACAGGAGAAAGGAGACGGCGGAATATACCTGGCATGCCATGTGCTGGAGGACATCCGTGGGCCCAGCCACCATGACTTGGAGCTTCGTAAGACTTTCCAGCACCGACTCTCGTGCCCGCTTTGTGTCACCCATTCCTCCTAATGCAGTGAATGGTGATACCCCATGAGCCGTGGCTTCTATTGAACCTTCCGCCGTCTGGCAGTGCGATGCGAGCACCTTGATGGCAGCTAAAAGCTCCCTGGTCTGAGTCTCGAGCTGAGCCAAGCTGGGCATGACGGGAAGCGTGACGTAGGCGGCAAGGGTGAGAGATTTGAAGAAGGTATGGCAGGGGAAGTTTGGTCACTGTGTTGCTAGGTCAAGTCGAAACGGAAATCCTCATTATAAAGCGGGGCTTTCCCAGGGTGCCTTGGCCTTGCCAGTATATTTGACTTGATATTGGCGCAGCATGTCTAATTGCATGAATGCTCTTTTACCTTCGGAAGCTGTCCTGGGCTCCTGGCTTTCGATTTGATGAATCGGGGGATGGCGGGAGGTCGGCAGGGGGGAGGGGGTCTCCCCTGGTAACTATTAATGCCTTTCTTAGTTATGCCCCACTCTCTCTACCCTTTTAGGATAGTAGAATAGTATAATAGTAGATAGCTACCAGCCATATCTAGTCAGCAGCATCTAATCAAGAGTTGAAGTAGTGTAGTTGGACATCTGCTACGTAGCATACTGCTTGCTCCGCAGCTAGTATCCTGCGAAATCGATATGCACCACTCTACTCTTGCAGTTGCCTGCAGTTGCCGCACTTGCCGCACTTGCCGCCGCTATTGGATGGGATTCAGCCCCATTATCATTAGGGAAAGCATGGCTATGCGCTAGCGAGATCCTTGGGATCTATCTGCGGCCAACTATTTGCGCAAACCCTAAGACATTGACTTTTTTTTTACAATGATTACATCTCGCCACTCCCGCCCTCCTACGGTCACACGCACCTGATATTGAATGGTATAGTATTAATACTGAATCCTTATACTAAGGTAGTACCTGTATAACTAGAATAATATATATATGTGGTAGTATTTAATATCCTACTAAGCATTTAATATGCCGCTGCTACTATGACTATCTAATATCCATACTGTTATATCAACGTGCGATATCACGCTATTCGTGGGGATAGTGGCATTTAGTATTACCAGCGGGACGCAGGTAAATATATAAAAAAGGTTATTGTGTTCCTTTTGTAAAACCGTTTGCCCTATTCTCCAACGGGGAATGGCTATCTGTGCCTTAGCAGCGCACCCACACTGGGAACCAGTGTGGGTGCGCTGCACTGGAACCGTAGTTTTCACTGTAACTGTAATGTACCTTTTATATGGCATCACCATATAAAAGGTACATATAGCCTAAGTCAAATATCAGGGTATTCATGAAGGATAACTATATTTTAGATAGTAATATTAGAATTTCATAAGAGAAACATCTTATAATTTAAAAAGCCTTTAAGAGTTTTAACCAAAAATTAGAGCTATAAGAATGTGCAAAGTTTCCCTCTATAAAACTATTTCTTAGGGAAAAGAATAAAGAAAGATTATTTTACCTTAACACTTATAATTTTCCTTTCTAATAATAAAGATAGTAATAAAAGATAGACATTTATATATCTAAATAGTAATAAACTAGAAAAACTAAATATGTATATATCTAGACTAAATAATCTATATGTACCTTTTATATGGTGATGCTATATAAAAGGTACATTACAGTTCTGGTGTAATCTACAGTACTGCTGCGGCTCACCCACACCGCTTGCGGTGTGGGTGAGCCTTAGTCACAGATAGTCCCTGCCGCGGAGGATCTTGCCAGGATCAAGCCAAGGCAAGAACTGTCACAAGTTTAGTGCCATGGGCGTTCCCGCCACGGAAAACGCCCGAAGGGCTTACGACCAGGAAAATCCAGGGAGTAAGACAAAGTAGGCATGGCCTAATCATATCTGGTTGATCATCATGGGTTGCGCGGCGTTGTGCTTGTAGAATATCACACCAATCAACCCTTCTTTCCCCACACCCGCATTGAGGCCACCAGATGGTGATCAGGCTTGATAGTAAGAAATGAGACAGACATAATCCCGATCAGAGTTTGCGACGCATCTTTTCACTCCCAGCAAGCCAGTTGCGGTGGCCATACCTCGACTTGAATGAGGAGTTGTCTCAGTTGTAGTGTGTCTCACTGTCAGGGAGTATGCTAAGCAGGTAGACACATTGGCAAATTAATTATAGTTCTACACCAGCGGAACAAGCTACAGCAGAATGTCCAATCAGAACCTGGCCATAGTTGCTCAGCTCCTGTAGACGCCTTGGTTGTCGCTTCAGCTGATCTCGTTGGTCATCCTCGGCCCATAGCCCGTCGGCCGTGCCAGGATGCCGCTCCCATTGACATCAACAGTACAGCCCCTCTTCAATATCAATCTCCCAGATCAATCGTGGATACACAACCCAGCGCTGTGGTGCCGGATCTGGGTCCATCCATGGCAACTCTGCAATCTGCTCCTGCTCTTCAGGCTCGCCGGAGTCTTTCGCCCACTGGCCCCAAGCTACGGGACAGTTGCAATAGCTGTGCGGCGTCCAAGATCAAATGTACCAAGGAGAAGCCGCGATGCGCACGGTGCGCAAAACGAAACGTGGTGTGCGAGTACCTGGAGAGTAAACGCGCACGTCGCAAACAGGGAACCCGAATGAGAAATCGCGATGCAATATCCCTGATCACCCAGGCTTCACCTCCAACCACCTCCAGCACAACTCCCTCCCCGTGTGAGGCGGAGAGGTTGGCTACACGGGTGATCACACACCCTTCCCCCAAGCAGCATCACCCGGTGAGCTATGCGGACATCTTCTCCTGGACTCCCTCGCTGGCAGATACCGCGACAGCAACACCCACCGTCTTGAACTGCAACTTTGACGACTTCCTGGCCTCGCCGACCTTGATTTCCATGCCGGGCATGCCTGATACGGGCGATCTGGTCGCCAATCTGACCGACTTCTGCCAGCGCAAGGATCCCAGTCATGCACCAGAGATGCTCAACCTTGCCCCGAGCAATGCCTCTGCAGGCGTGGAAACCACCGTCGACCCTCCGCAAGAGTCGTCGACCAACCAGGCATCGATCCCCGAGGCGCCCAACACGGGGTCAGCGTGCTGCTCCATCAGCCGTACTTTAGGCCTCTTGACATATTTCCCCACCTCAGCCCCCGTGCCGCGCCTCACCACTGCACAAGGATCACCCTGCCCGGGCGAATCTCCGACCATTCAGTCGGTAGTCGCCCGCAATGCAATGGTCGTCCAGACCCTCAACGATATCCTACAATGCGGATGCTCCGAGGACGGGTATCTCCTTGCCATCCTATCCGTCGTAATCTTGAAAGCCCTGGGCTGCTATGCCGCTATCGTACGACAGCTCCCAAGTTTCGACACCAACAGTCCATTCTGGGACGCTCCAATGACCATGACTGATTCTCTCACCGACTCGCATTCGTCTCCGTCACATTCTGACCAAACCCAACGAGTTCCTCCCGGCGGCACGGCCCCACTCGGCTACGGGGGAGAGGGCGAGGAACAAACTCGCATGGCTGCGCAAGAGATCCTCAGCCAACTGCATCTTGTCCAGCGTCTGGTGAATACCATTTCCCACCGATTCACACTCTACGGCGAACGCGAGAGTAACACATCATCGGCCCCGAGCACGGTCTCCAATGACAACTGTGCGGACTTGCCTTCAAGTATGGAAATCCTGTATCCGTTTCACACCTCATTATTCGAGCAGATCGAGGGCAATGTGCGCAAGCGTCTCCGAAACCTGTCCGCCGAAATTTTAGACATCCTTCGCTACTGAAACTATGATGAAAGGTTGACGCTTCCTCTTTCCTTTGTTCCTTCTCTGGTCACTTGTTGAAAGTTTTCTTCTTCTTTATTTATTTTTTTTTCCCTGAGCTGTTGGAATGGGAATCACGATTTCCATGTTTTCACAGATCATAAACCCAGATACATGCAAAATTCCCTGGGTACAAGCAGCGTGTTTGCCGATGGGAAGGAGCATTTTGGGGAGAATGGCGGGAATGGCCAGAATGGAGAGAATGGCGAGAATTAGGATTAATAGATGGTATCTAGGGTTTGCGCTGTCATAAATTCGGCGTTGCCGCTGACCATGTTAGTCTTTTATGTCTTTCTTGTAGTTAGCAAGTTCCTCAGATCTACTCGAGGGCACATGTAGCGCAGGCGCCCTTCATGGATCTATAGCTACATACCAGCCGTAATAACTCAATCTTGATTAGGGCATAAAAAAGGTTCAACTCCCTCGCGCAGCGACAGCAACAGGGCCCCCATTATCCTGCAGGTATTTTTCATATTTCGGCCCGAAGTCCTGCAAGAACGCCGTGTCGAGCATCTCTTCCAACCTGGCTACCTTTTTCCCATCTTCAGTAAAACTCACAAATGCCGAGTACTCCAGATTCCAATCTCCCCACGGAAGATTTCCTTTGGACACAGCGTATATAGCAGCCTTGTTACTCCCTGGGTCATGGATGACATGGCGGATTGTAAGCTATTTCAATTAGCATGTCCTGTTAAATCAAATCCCGCTAGGTATCTACCTCGTATGACTCGACTGTCGCAACAAGGGCGGGCAAGAGAAGTTCAACATCAGGCCGTGATCGAATGGGAATGCCTTGGCCGACAGGGAGGGTGACGTGTTCAAAGTCGTCGGAGAAGGTAGAGATCCATTCCTGGGCATCCCATTTCTTCCAGGCCAAGATGAAGCGCTGCAAGGTTGCTGCTTGAATAAGAGCGGGGGCTGGCATTTTAGTTCGGTGTGTCAGTGAAAGATAAGGTCCGTTTGGACCTAATATTGATCTCAACACGGATGAATGTATGTATATATATGGAGGAACTCCGCTGTAGCCCGATGTCCGATATTGGCCCATATCATCATTCGGCGTTTCGGGAAACGGATGTCGGACAATTAGCGGGAATTTCGGATCCGACCAAGTACCAACACCAAAACAGATTGACGGCACTCTGTAAGGATGGAAGGAATGCAGAGGATCCGAAGATTAAGCAGCAGTGAGATCATGTACAGGCTATGTGCTAGCCTAGTCAGGGAGTAATATAATATACTCATAATAATATAGTTAAAAACTATATTCCTTATTGTGAATGTTACTCTCTTGCCTATACTTCCAAATCAAGCTTAGCACCTCATGCACCATCTTCTTCAGTCTGGCAGATAGCTTCATCTTAGATAGTTTAATAATTAAGTTATATTATTATTCCATTATATTCTCACAGGTTATAAGCCCTTATAGCTTATTATAAGGTAACTTTTATTATCTTCTCTATTCCCTACTTCTATAGTTAATTTAAATATATTTTATATACTTATTCTTATTAGTTAGATTAAAATTCTAGCTTTATAGATCTATACTACTCCTCCTTTCTTTTATAGTAATTCTTCTGCAGAATCTAGCCTAATCTATTAAATTAAAAGCCTCTAAGGTCCTTATTTCCTTCCTTAATTAAACTCTATATATTAAATTTAGCTAATTATAATAGATATTAATATAAAGCTATATAAGGTCATTCCTACCCTTAAAGGTAAGTCTAACTAGTTAATCTAGATAGAAGTACTCTAGGGATATCTTTATAGTAGGAATACTAATTACTAGAAGCTCCTAAAGTATAAATATATAGCTCTTACTTAGCCTATACTATATAATATTATCTATAAATATATATAATAAAGTCTTATTTATAAATATAAGGAGTAACTAGCTTAAGAATAGGCTACTAGGGGCCTCTTAGCTTCTATAATAGTAAATACTACTAGGGGCCCCCTAGCTCCTATAATAACTAGCTCTACTAGCTCCTTAGCTTCTATAATAGCTACTATAGGCCCTTTCTAATAGATAATAGCTACTATAGCCTTAAGTTAATTAATAGTAATAGAGAGTAATATTAATAACTTAATTAATAATTAAAATATCTAGAATTATTAACTTATAGAGTATTATAAATAGTAGAATAAAGTATTTACTTATCTTAACTATTAAGTACTTATAATACTCTATACTATTATTAATAATACTATAAAGATATATATCTTTAGCTTTATTAATATAGTTCTAGCTTTTAAAAAGCTTTAGAGCCTTTATAAATATAGTAGTAGGGATAGTCTCTTCTTACTCTAGTAGAAGCTCTATTAGATTAAATATAATTTAAGTAGTAATTATAATATATTTCTATAGAAATAGTAGGCTATAATTACTAAGATATATACTTTTAATATTCTTCCTAAGTAGATTAAATACTATCTATTCTTATAGTCTATTAAGGATATTCCCTATCTTAATAACTTTATTATAAATATAGAATTATTAAAAGTAGGATAATAGATTAATCTATATAATATCTACTTATAGTTCTAATACTTTAAATTTAAATGCTATGCTACTAGTGTTAGTAGATACTAATCTAATTCTAATTAACTATTAGTTAATTTAGTTCAAGGGGGGCAGAATAGCTAATATAATAGATATAGAGATAATTAAAATTAATCTAGTACCTCTTATTCTAATTCTAATTCTAATTTAAATTAATCTAATTAATACCTATCTGATAGCCCTATAGCTAAAGATCTAAATAATAAAGATGCTAGTATTATCTAGTACTATTATTATAGTAAGTTTAGTAGTTATCTCCCTTCTATATATTACTTAAAGAATACTAGTTCTAATCCTTCCACTACTAACTCCTTATAAAGAGGAAGCTAGAGAGGGTATAGCTATAGATATAGTAGATTTACTACTAATATTACTACTTCCTATTCTACTAATTAAATAAATAAAGATTATAATAAAGAGACTAATTAGATTATATTTAATAGTAATTCCTTATAGTATAATAACATTAGGCTTTCCTGCTAGTAGATATAATATAATAAGGTTAGCATAGTTAACTAGGACTATCTCTATAACTAGATATTAGATTCCAGGGCTAGTAATATAATAACTCTATACTATTCTTTATTTATTAACTATTATAAGCTTATTCTCCTAGTCTATATAGCTACTAGCTAGATCTTCTAAACTAAAGGCTATAGTACTATTATTATTAATCTTACTCTTCTAAATAGTAATAAATATATTAGATTAATTATATTCCTTAAAGTCTGGTATACACCAGCTCTCACTTATAATCTAGTTTTTATCTAAAAGCTAGTAGAACTAGGTATTAATATAGTCTTTTAGAATAATAGTAGTATTAAATTAATTTATAATAGCTTAATTAAGGCCTTTATTAAGATAATTTAGAACTATTACTTCCTCTGCACTACTAGCTATAATTCTATTAAGACTATTAAATAGCTATAGTAGGCTGGCAGGCTATCTAGCTTAGAAGATATTAAATATATTTTATACCCTAGATTTAAAGCCTTTATTAATATAATAATTATTAAAGATCCTAAGCCTATATCTATTTATCTTGCTTACCAGTGTACTACTTACTTATCTAAATATTATCTATATATACTTCTAGACTATATTACTAGCTTATATCTTAAGAAAGGGGGGTTATAACTTCCCTATAGCCTATATATTATTAGTAAAGGTCATTAGCTTCTATACAGCAGGGATAAAATAATCTATTCTAGCCCTAGTAAATTCTTATATATTAATATCTACAGACCTTTCAGCATCCAGGCATATAGCAGAGAGATATATTTCTTAACTATTATAGATAATACTATATAGTTCTGCTAGGTCTTCCTACTTAAATTATAAATAGAAGTCCTAGATAAGCTTATCTAGGTAATTAACTATCTAGAGATATAGTTCTCCTATAAAGTTAAATAGATTCAGGGTAATAATGCTATAGAATATAAACTAATCTATTTATATATCTTAGATAGGGGTATTATCTAGGACCCTACACCTCTCTACACTCCTTAATTAAATAGTATTCCTAAGATAAAGAATTAACACTTAATTAAGCCTATTATATCTATTATAGCAGAGAATTAACTTCCTAAATATCTCTAGGGGCATCTTATTCTTATAGTTAATTACCTATCTAATTACCTCTTCTATTCTAAGATAGGCATGACCCTCTATAAAGCTCTCTATAGCATCTAGCTAGATATCTCCTATTAGTATACCCTAGGCTGTAAGTACTAGGTATTAATACCTAAGGAGTAGTATAAGAAGCTAGATCTATATATATCTAAGGGCTAATTTATTAGCTATATAGAGGGATACTATAAGGTCTATAATATATCTATTAAGAAGATTATCTAATCTTATAATATTATCTTTACTAAAGAACCACCTTTATCCAGTAGGTTAGAAGTGGCCTATAATCTTAATTAAATTAACTAATACTATAAGTAGGCTAATAATGAGATAAATTAACTACTAGAATAGTATTATATTCTAATTAAATTCCTTAAGATAAGAAATAGTGGATTCTTAGCTCCTATATAGCCTCTAATTCTAATCATTCTAGCCCTAGTACTATCTAATTCTAATTCTAATTCTACTACATCTAAGATACCTAATTAGCTAATCTAATATAAATCTATAAATATTCTTCCTGATCTCCTACCTCCCTCTTATAATAATCATAGCCTTCTATAGCTTCCTAATACCTCTAAACATCCTATTATTAAATAATTAGCTAATTATAATCTAGAATAGCCTACTCTAGCTAATAAGAGCCTGCAGATTCCTTCTCTAGGATCTTCTATAGTACTAGAGGTAGGTAGCCCTTAGATCTCTAAGGATCTTCCTTTATATTATTTTATATATATTTAGAAACCTTTATATTACATACTAGAAGTTATGGAGGGCCTATCTATATACTTTAATAAGCCTTTCCTATTTTAGCTAGTTTAAATAGTGGATATATAAGTTCTCTAGGCTATTATTAATTATATTCTAGATCTAGTTAATAAAGTAGAGGAATAATTACATACCTATATAATTAAATCTGCTATAGCTAATCTAGATATCTTATATAATCTATAAAGAGATAATTTCCTTCCCCTTATATATACTAAGGCTGTTACCTATAAATATAGATCTAAATAGCATCAGTCCATCTATAAAGAAGTAGTAGAGTTAATCTATAATAGTACTTTTTAGGTAATTAACTAGTAAAAGGGAATAAGGCTTTTACCTCTAAAATAGATATTTAAAATTAAATAGGATAAGACCCTTAAGAGTTACCTAGTTATCTAAGGCTTCTACTAATATAAGAGAATTAATTTTAATAAAGTCTATATAGCTATTATAAAGCCTATAAGCTTTAAGATATTTACTACCCTTACTACTAGGGATAGCTAGCTCCTATAGTATATTAATATTATTACAGCCTTTCTCTATATACTACTTAAAGAATCTATCTATATATACCTTCCTAATAGAATAAAGTAAGTAGATAAATATACCTTACTTATAAAGATACTTTATAGTCTTAAGTAGTCTTTCTATAAATAATATTAATTAATATATAACTTCCTCCTATCTATTAGTTTTAAATATATATATATAGATTATTTAGTATTTATCTAAAATAGCATAGCTTTACTTATCTATATTAATAATATTCTTATTCTCTTATATTCTAAGGAACTTATTAATAACTTCTTATCTAAACTAGGCAAGTCCTTTAAGTATATAGATAATAGAGAGGTTTTAGTCTATCTAGGAATTAATATAATTAGATAAAAGGATGGTATCTTCCTCTATTAATCTAATTATATTTAGAAGATTCTAAAATAATTTAGAATAACTAATTACTATTA